TCTCATGGTTTCTTAATGACACTGGTTTCACATGAGCCCATTGTCTGGCTCTGCCTCTGCCTGTTGGTTCCCCTCGATTCTTTCAGCCAATTTCAGTAAACCCTGAATGAGGAAAAAGGGCTTTTCAAAGAGATACTAATTCCTACAAAATTTTAGGAAGAGGAGGAAGAAATGCCAAAGAAATGCCCACTGTGGGAAAGGGAAAGGAAACTCAGTTATTATTCTTCCTGCTTGCTATTAGCCACAAAATCTCCTGCCTAGCCCAGCATATACAACATAAACCAGGCACTCCAGCACATGAGGGATGTCATTTGGGGGTGAAGGGAGATCAGGGCTGGATGGGTGGAAGATGCTCAGCCCTAGGAGAAGAAGCTGCTTCCCTTCTGCTGCACCCATAGAAACACTGGTGTTTACAAATCCTGCTGAGGAGGAGAAAATGCCCATGACTGTGGTGGATGGGGTTTGTGAACCACAGCCCCCTCAGATCCCCACCAGTGCCATGACAAACACTCTGTGCGCACAGGCATTCAGAAAAGATGAGGAAATTCACAAATCTACAGAATTTCTTCCTGTTTTTTTTTGAACAATGTCCTCATCTAGCACATTTAGGAACAATACTGACAAGTTTTAAGAACAGTTTCCCTTCTTCCCTCACTCTGCTTTTAAGGCTGGAAGGAAGTCAAACTTCTCCAAGGTTCATGTGGATGAAGGGGACCATATGGCTGTCAAATCCATTTTTTGAGCTCTGTCCAAGTCCTACGAGATGGATGCTTTTCACATGGACACCACATGGATTATCTGAGGACAGTTCAGCTAGCAATGAACTAGACAGGGAAAATATTTTGGATTGCTCCCTCTCCAAAAGACAGGGGAGATACTCTTTTAGGCCTATAAACAGACTTTTTGACAAATGGTCTCTGCAACATCTTCTGAGCATTTGGTAGGCACAGAGAATTTCTGTTCATGCTGTTCATTTAACCCATAAGTGCACAACTAAATGAATAACATGAAAATGCCACACCATGTTTCTCCTATCACAAGAATTGTTCCTAATCAGATAACATCCCTTAATGTGAGAGACCACAGAATCTTTTTCTTATAAAAATCTACTGAATCTTTTCCTAATAAAATTTCTATGCTTTCTGCCTAAGCAATCCTTTTTTTGCACCTGTAAGTACGGAGCACAAACTGGATTTATCTGCTTCCATGAGTCTTTCAAGAGTGACATAATGTCCATCCCAACATCACTGTTAATATCTCTCACAATCAGAAAACAGAAGTTAAAAGATGGAAAGTGAGTGACCACTATGGGAACAAGTCTTACACTGATGTGAGGAATGGTAATTAAAGCAGTCACCTCAGGAGAAACTAAAATGAATTGTCTGTATTTGACCTTTATTTGCAACAGAAAAGAGATAGAGCATCACTCCAGGAGAGTTTTTACAACTTTTTGAAACATCATTATCCTGGAATTTTTTTCCTAATTTTGAATGTTAATTAATATGTAAAGTACTGTCACCCAACCTGTTATTTTCTGAGTGTTGGTGGACAGTGTGCGTTGCAGCATCCAAGGGGCTGAACCAGAAAAAAAAGATCTTTAGTGGGTTTTGTGGAAAAATTCTGCTTTCTCCATCTGTTATTCCTCCTTTTGCTACCTCACTGCAAAACTCCACAGCTTTACTCTGCATCAGCAGCACTGTGAATTTCATTTTTGTCTACTCATGGAGCAGTGCAGCCTCAACCAGAGTTTAAGAACTGGGGATAAACACACCCATTAACACAGAGATTTTCTAAATTCTGAGTAATTCCCTCACCAGAATGTTTTGGTTTTCATTTTCAGCTAGTTCACAACTGGTTTCACTTTTTGTTTGATGGGCTAGCTGCAGTGCTGGAGCAGGGAAGCCTTCAGGGAAATGCCTCCCTTCCCCACATTTTCACACTGAATTAAAGATGTCACAAAAGCATTTCTAATCATATCAACAATTTCTAATCACACCAACAGTTGTGTACAGCAGGGAATTGACCAGAATTCTGTCACAGAGTTTGGAGCAGTTAGTCAGATTTGTGAATTCCTACTGACTTCTGTCTTCATTTCATGGGTATTCTTTAATCAGCAATTTATCTTGCTTGTGTTCTTGCGTTTCCACAGCTGCTGCACAAAGACAAACTGGTAACTTTTATTTGCAGTGTTGGGGTGTGTGAACCTTTTCAGGCAGAAGAGTGTAGCACAAGGTGAACCACAGCAAAGCCCTCAGAAGCCTGAGCAAAGAGGGGCAGGCATGGATTCCTGTCTGGGCAGGAAGAATTCCCCAGCCACAAGTCCATGCGCAGATTGCTGGTTCAGGAACCACACAGGGTGATTGCAGACCCAATACCTTTTTTATTTGGTGCCATAAATAGCTGTGTGCTTCAGCCTATTGTGACCTTTGATTAGCACAGCTTCAAGCTGCTGCTCTGTCAAGGCACTCCAGAATACACCTTTAAACCAGGCAGGAGGGCAGACATAAACAATAGTTTTGGTTTTTTCCCCGTGCAAAATTCCTCTGGTATTGCTGTGCTTCTGCAAATTGTACATAAAGTAGAATCTAAAACCTGAAAAGTACCACCAAAGGTCCAGGGGAGCTGAAGAGGAATCAGTTCTTCATCTCTTCCAAGCCTAAGGCTTCAATTAAAATAATCAAAGCTTCCACTCTTGGCTGAAGAAATGCTTTTTCACAAGAGGGAATTCTTGCCACAAGTTGTACCACCATTGTTTCCACAACTACTGTTCATATCTTTTTGTTGTTGTTGTTGACTTTTATGTGACCTGACAGTCAATTTCTTGGTGGACAATTGCCCACATTATAAAAATCCACTGATGTGTCACTCTTTGGCTCTGCCAAAAGAAAGCCATGGTACTCAGAAGGAACACAGTATTTGGCCTGTCTTTAAAACAAGGGACTATTAAACAATAAAAGAAATTACCAGCAACAAACATAGCAGTTTATTTTTAAAGTTAAGTGTCAAAATACAGGCAGCTACAATTGTCTGAGGTGTCACCATGCTTCTGTAAGTTATCATAAACAGGGAAGGGCTTGAGGGAGAATACTGTGGTGGCAAGGGAAGGTACAAGCATTGTAGGTGCAGCTATTTTAAATGCTTTCCCTGGAAAACAAAGTGGATTAATGGGAAATAGGAGGAAAAGCTGAAAGTAGTTGATAAGGGACAAAAAAGGAGTCTACAATAACATGCCCAGAAGCATGAAAATCCCACAGAGAAAAGAGCTGTTTTGATATGATTACATGTATTTCTAACCCAAACACGAAACACAGACACTTGCAAACTTTCACCATGGTTATGGCTTGTTTTTATTGCTGAAGAAAATGCACATACAGCTATTCCTTCAGTAAACAAACTGTTGCATTTGTACAGTGATGAAGCAGCTGCATCCCTTGTTTTGTTTACTGAGTGGCTAACACAGCAACATACTTCAGCTTTCCATCCCAGATCCATCTAATGATCAGCAAAAAACCTAATAATTCTGCTAAATTAGGAAACATCAGAATTATCACCACTTGATTTTGAGCTCCAGCTTTTTACTGAAAAACACCCACCCAATGTTGTTCCATCTCCTGCAATGAGCAATTAGTATTTCAGTTTTTTAGTCTTTTGTAACTGTGTGGTCCAAAAGATAAAACATTTTGCACTGGAGTTAAGGCTGTTGGCCTGAGCCTCTCGAGCAAATTCCAACATGGGGAGGCTAAATTCCTCCTGTGCTTTCAGCTCAATATCGTATCTTTCACCTCCTGCTCCGAAATTCTTGAATAATGTTGTTAAAATGAGACTTTGATCTTGGAACACAGACTAACAAAACTTTAAGCACCGCTTCAGGTATTCCTGAAGTCCGAGTTCGCCATATCTGCCAAACTTCTGTCCTGCCCCAAGCATCCTTTCCCGTTTTCCCAGGTTTTAAATCCAGACTTGGAAGTCCTCCCGGTCGCTTTATAAAGCACGCACGGACCGGGGTTCTACCGATCTCCTACAGTGGCCATGTAAAGGCAGACGTATCAAAGAAAGGAAAAAGAACCAAAGAATCTCAGAATATTCAGAGCTGGAAGGACCCAGGGAGATCATGGACTCCAACCCAGGCCCTGCGCAGGACACCCTGAGAGCCACCCATGAGCGCCTTGTCCCTGAGCTCTGCCAGGCTCGGAGCTGCGCCCGCTGCCACGGGGATCCTGCAAGAGGAACAAAAGCTCCGTTCGGCTTTCGGGAAGCGCCGGTGTGCCCGAGCGGGGAGCGGGCTCTGTCTGCTCTGCGGGCCCTGAGGGCCGGAGCTGCCGCCGCCGCCGCCGCCCGCGCCCCCGTCCCCGTCCCGCTCCCGGCCCGGCCCGGCCCCGGCGCGGCGGGAGGCGGCCGAGCTGACGTCACCATCGTCACCGCCCTGACGTCACCATCCGGGCCCCGGCGCGCGCCCGGCGGCGCGGGCCACAATGGAGAGCGCGCGCGCGCCCAACCGACGCCAAGCAGGCCCCGCGCGCGCCCGCGCGCCGCTGGCCGGGCGTGCGTGTGTTTGTGTGTGTCCTACAGCCCTCGTCCTTCCCTCGCCGCCGCCACCGCCCCGCACACCGACACACCGGGGGGGGGGGCGGCCGGGACCGGCGGCCCCGGGCGGGCACACGGGCGGAGCGTCACTGCCGCGCTCGGGTGGCCGAACCGCCGCCGCGCTGGGCCGGGTGCGGAAGGCGCTGCCGGCGCCGCCATCTTGCCCACGGGGCCCCGCCAGACGCGGCTGCGCCGCCGCCGCCGGGAGCGCGAGGAGCCGCCGCCACTGCCGCCTCCCTCTGCGCTGCCTCCCCCGCACCGCCGAGCCCTGAGCGCGGAGCTCCCGCCGCCCGGCCCGGCCCCGCCACCCCCGCCCGGCCGAGCCCCGGGCGCGCGTCCGCCCACCCCCCCCGCGTGCGCCCGGTGCCCGGACGGGGCGGAGCGGAGCGCGCAGGCCCCGGCCCAGCCCCAGCCCGAGCCCAGGCAGGGCCGCCGCCGCCGCCGCCGGGCAGCAGCTGGTGACGCAGGAAAAACGCCCCAGAGAGAGAGAAGCGCTCAGGGCCGGCACCCGGAGCGCGGGCAGCGGCGCCGGATTTGCCCTCCCGCTTCCCGCCGCAGCGCAACCGAGTGGGAGCCGGGGGAACGGAGCCGCCCCCTCAGAGCCGCGGCCTGGCATGAGACCGTGCCCCGCCGGCCGCCGGGCATGAGGCAGCGCCCAGGAGGGCTCCGGGCCGCCGCAGCAGCCGCCGCGGGACGAGGGGAAGCGGTGCGGGGGTGAGTGCGGAGCGGTGCCCGGGCGGGGCCGGGCCGCTGTTTGTGCTCCCCGGGGATGGGGCTCCGCGGGCCGGGGCGCGGCTGGGGGCGAGCACGGAGCTCCCCGGGACCCGCGGGGCGTGAGGCGGCGGCAGCGCCTCCCTCGGAGCCCCGGCGTGTCGGCCCCGCACCGCCGTGTTTTGGAGGGCGAGGGAAAATGGCTGACGGCTCCTCATCTCCGGCTGCCGGCGGGGGGGAGCGCCCGGCGCCCTCGGGGGGCTCTGGCCGCCTCTCCGGGGCCGCTGTGGCCGGACCCCCCCGGTGAGCAGGGCCCGGTGCGTCCCCGCAGCGCTGCACCGGCATCGCCTCCCCTGGTTCTCGCTTCCCTTCGCCCCGAACGCCATTACTGAGGTGGAGTGATTGGGGCCGCGTAGGCCCGGGCGACGCCTGGAAATCAGGCCCTGCCGAGGCGCTTTCCCGACGGTCTCAATGAAATCCAGCAGCAGCAGCTCGTTCACGCCCGCTGTAAACACTGTTAACACGTAGGCCACTCCTCTGGCCTCGGCTTCCAGCGCCCCGGCTTCCATGGACGAAAAGCGTTCGTGGCTTTTTCGTCTAATTCCTGCAGTTCACCGCGCCGCTTCTCCTCGGAGTTGTGTCTTAGGGCTTGTCTGTAGCGATTTATTTTAGGCAGGACAGCCCTCTTCCCTTGCCCGACGAGTACGGCAGAGATAGTTGCGTGTAGTTTGGCCGCAGATACTCAGTGTTATTGTCCTCGAGAAAACGGGATTTCACCAGTTGGATGGGTTGTTGGGGTTTTTGTGTGTTAGTTACCACTGTCTTAACATGTGCCGTCCCACTTTGTGCAGCTTTGTTTGTATACAGTGGGAATAGCTTTTGAAAATTATTTAATTTGTTCTTGAGTGATTTTTTTTTTCTTGTAGAGGTATCCAAAAATGTTGTGATAGTTTTTAAGATGCCGTATTTAATTTTCAGCTTGCTCCTTCAGAAGTCCAGTTAGGTATTTTGAAGATTTGCAGTAGCTCGCAGCTGTATAGGAAAAAAAAGAACCTTTCAGAAAAGAATTGTTCTAATTAAATGTTCAAAGGACTCCCAGGCTGGCTGCAGACATATTGTGTCTGTCTCAGCTGTTTTCGTGTTATCTGTACAACTGGGTTTATATTCGCAGTTTTGCAGCTGTGTTCATATCAGGGACGTTTGTATCGGCCCAGAGACCCTCTGAAGTCGCAGGCTCAGAGCCAGCCCCAGGCCTGCTTTTGCTGACCTACTTGCAGAACTGGGGCCTGTATTTTTTTAAAAAGTTGTTGAATTGAGATACTGTTATGCATTCTTCAGTATACAGTGGCAACACTTGCTGTGACAGATCACGTAACCTGGGCTTTTTTGGCACTTCTCAGAGGCCTGACAAATGGCTGGTAAAATTGTTACATTTAGGAAGGGGCTGTTGATGGGTGTTTGGGGGATTGACCTTTATTGATTGTGGAATAGAAACTGTGTCCCTAGTAAGAAAGGGTTAGGGGTGGCTGAGAGCTGTAGGCAGCTAACTTTATTATTCATATTGTACTTGGGAATTTTCTTTTTTCATATTTTACTTGAGAAGTTGTCAGGCCTCCCCACCAAACGTGTTGCATATTTATTTCAGCAAAACCCAAGTCATACATGAGGGAGTTGGTTTGTTTGTTTGGGCTTTTTTTTGTTTTGTTTTGTTTTCTCAAACAATGCTTTTGATTCTTGGAGTTGAAGTAATGTTTATTCTTTGAACCAACAAACTACAGCAGTGATACCAAGAATTTCAGGGAGGCATACAGAATACATGTATTGATTATTCTGTTGCAATCCACCAGACAACAGTGATACTTAATGATAGCTGTGTACAACACCCAAAAACATGATCATAAAGCTGCAGTGCAAGAAACTCAAATTATCAGCATGTTTATGGGGAGGGAGTTAACCAGAAATAAATGTAAGATTGTATCACAGTAACTTTTCCCTCTCCAGAGGGTCTTGTACTTTCCTTTTGTGTAGTTTTCTTCAGGGTGTTTCTTTTGTGGAGCTTCTGTCTGAACCTTGCCTGGCTGCTGCTTCATGTCTTGCAGAATTTGCCTTTGTGGCCATTTCTCTGCCCGTGGAATTGACAGGAAGACAACATCTGGAGGTGCTAATCAATAAAGATAGTGGTAGCAAAACTGTTTTCCATCTCTGTGGAACACTGTCACCCTTACATAAACATTTTGTTCCCCACATTGTGGTGCCTTTGTGCTCAGACCAGTGCAACTACTCTGTGTTCTAAAGGCACACTTTTAAGCTTATGCATTTTATTAATATGCTGAAATTCATAGATGAGAGACTCAAAATAAACTAAAATAGTTATTAGTGTCTGTTTTGCAAAATTAAATAGACTTCTGAGAAAATAAAGGCATCTGCAACACCTTTGTTCCAAGACATCTTACATTTGAAATTAAAATTAATTTAGGACCTTCCAGTATGAATACAGCCCTGGGTAAGAATGGATAGGAATTCGTTTATTTATTAGTTTGAACAATTTATTTTTAAATGGCTTTGAAGTTCTGTTTCTGTCAGGTGTGTATTGAAAATATATTAAATTCCATGGAAAGTAATTCTGCCCTTCCTGCTATGGTTTAGACAAGTTCAGAACTAATTTCAGATATTTGAATGGAAAGTACTTTGGTGTTAGGCAGTACTGTGAGTGTAGAGATATATCTGTATATAAACATATATATGTGTGTGTGTGTATGTAAATATATATATAATATATATATAATATATATATATAATATATATATTATATATATAATTTATGTGCATATATATTTATATACACATAAATTTATATGTGTATATAAATATATGTGTGTGTGTGTGTGTATGTATTTACTCACTTTTTAAAAAAGAAATACAGTTTTATCTATTCTAAGAGATCAAAAATAGGTATATTTTGAAAACATCCAGATCAAGATAGCCTCATTTGTGAAATAAATGGATGAATGGATCAAAGGTGTCCCTTACTGTTTTTAACTTAAAGCAGAATTTTATATTTTTAAGGACAATCCAAACTCTGCACAACCCTTGAAACTGTAGTACTGAGTTTAATTCTTTCTCTTGTAATCACAGGAGCCTTGCTTATCCAGCACTTGCAGAGAAAGAAACTTTGCAGGATTTTGTGTTCATTTGAAAAGTTGTGAATGTGAAGGCTTTTGTGTGCAGGTGTTTGCTGGGTGTGAGCATTTAACAGTAGTCTGGATGTGGATGTTCTTGTGCAGGTATCTTCGTTTTTCTTACATGGATGTGTCTTCTCTTCACCCTCTGCATAGTGCACCCAGTTTTATTGTCTCCACATCAGCCCTGTTTTAAATCAGAATTCCGAGTTTGAAGCTGGACTTGAGGGTGTGTTTTGGGAGCACAGCTTGGTAGTGTCTGTCTGTCACTGCGGTCCTTGTGTTTGGCACAGCTGGCAGCACTGTGTTCCTGTAGGTTTGTGTCACATCTCACTGGTTATCTGTGAATACACAGCATTACCTTTATTCTCTAACATAGCTGAGTGTTGTTCTGATCCTGCAGAGCACAGCCCAAGGAGGTCTCCTGTCAGCACATACTTGCAGTGAGACTTGAAGTTTTCTGTCTGGGAAGTTGGAGCTACTTCAGATTCTGTGTTAGAAAAACACAATTCCTTTTTTCCATGTATTAAATCGAGTTTTTTATTCTCTTACTAATGTAGGAACATCTGAAAGTTCTCACACTCTAATTATGAAGGTTGTAATTCATTATGAGTTTCCGTTTTAGAGCAGTTATGTTGTATTGGCTGGTTCTCTTATGCTTAGGGCTAGAACATGACTTGGGAATGTGCCTAACAGAGGTGTCCTCTGCACTTGGGGACTTAAAAATTTTGTTTAGAGTCTTCAGTAGACAGGGCAGAAAACTGTTCTGTCACTGCTTTGCACCCTCAAAATGTCACTGCTGCCTTTCTGATACATGGCAGAGCCCCCCTGAGCCCCTTGGTGCATTGGGCATGTTCTCCAGATCTGGGTTGGTGATTTAAAATGGGGTGTTGGTGACAGCACAGGAGAGCTGTTAATGACTGTCCTCACTGCACAGGGTAGGAGGAAAGTAAGGAAGGTCTTAAAGTAGCCAGTTGTGACTTGGTATTAAAATTTTTTGTTTCTCTTTTTTTTTTTTTTTTCCTTGAGGGATCTTAACAGCACAACTGGTTTCTTCTGCATTTTGTGTTGTGAATTTTCTAGTATTTGCTTTGTTTTATAAGAAGCCATTAGTTACTCATTTTATTGGAGAGTTGAATTCAGTCTGCTTGTTATCAAGGCTTTTTGGTTGACACATTTTCAAATAGAAATTATAATGCTTGAAATGAAAACCACTGGGATATAGGTATGTTCCCAAGCTTGCTTTTTAAAAGAACATTGTTGAAATATGACTTTCTTAAAGAATTAGTCACTCTTGACTTTGAGAATGGTTACTTGCTTTTGGTTGGCTTTTTGTCAGTACAGCTCAGAAAGGGGTCCATGGGATGTAGATTTAAGGTCTAGGTAAATTTTGAATGCTGATATTATCAAGCATTTTCATGAAGTCAGATTGAAGATGCTTTGGAAGTTCTGGGTAACTATCAGGGATGTTACTGTGGGAAGCTTGTATTTGTAGCATCCTGGATCTGCTTACAAAACCACTATGTAACCCTGTTTGGTGACTTTGTTTTCATTACACATGGATCTGCTAACAGAAAAATGTGATTTTCTTGCATTTGGATCTTTGCATGGACATTTCAGCAAATCCTGCTGTTCGGTTGTTAGCATTCAGCTGTGGATTTACTCAGAGGAGGGGAATTCCACATTGCATCATTCCTTAGAGATGAGCTTTTTTTCCAAATTCTCTTTTTAAGCTGGGATTCAGGACTGTGTGGAAGGCAAGACTTCCTTGTTGCCCGAGTTTCCTCATATCCTCTCTGTTACAAATTGCAAAAGACTTCTTTT